TAATGTCGTAGGTGGGTCTAAAACAAGGTAATTGGATTCTACTTATAACCGATATCGATTTATTAACCCCTTCACTGTGTTCACGCATTAGAGACACTCGAGATGTTACGTAATGTTATATAATATTATCATTGAATTTAATGAATCGACGTGAGAGCGGGATAACTTTATTCCAGAGATTATGACGAAGTTAGACACCAGATTAATGCATTAAGGAGTGATTAAAAATGCTGTTGCTTTCTATCATTACCATTACTTTCGACTCTTACAGTTAGAATCATAAGACAATAATTATATTCGAAGTAGATCTGAAAATATGTTACATTTTCAAGCAGATTCTAAATAGTTTCGTCTGAACGAAGTGCCTCGCATTTATCTTAACGAAAGTATCGTCTTATCAATCACGTCTGCTCTATCTTATTGTCAATTGTATTTCGAATTGAAAGACGATACACCAAAGTGGTTAGTGCATTATTTCGTATCACAGATTCTGCATATAGAAGCGAGGTTGCATTCATGACTCCCATTCTACCGGGGAAACTACGTGGCCTGGAGAGTCGGGACGCGACACAGTTTCGGGTATACCGGAATAACAGGAGATGCTCGCATGTGCTATTATCGTTTGGTGTCTCGCGCGCAGCTGGGAAAGCCGTAACGCGTGCGTAACTAAAATTAGAAAACGTAATCGCGTTTGTCAGGACCGCGCTGGTTTAATCGCGCGACGGAAAGGGAAGGATGGGAAACCGTGCCGGGGAATTTAGCTTACAATAAGAAGTTTTAATCCATTCATACTCGCTCGTCGCTCGCCTCGCCTAATCTACTTAAACGCTTATAGTCTCGCGGACGAATATCGTTAAATGAGATGTGTTACAATTTTGCTTACTACGAAACAATACATTTATGGTATCAGTTAAAAGAATGCGTCTCACTTATTGTTAGCGATTTCTTGTATCATTTAATCATCGAGTTTCTGTCATTCAGCTCGTCCTTTTATTCGATTTGTTCGATCCTGTTCGTGTATTATACGGAACAATAGGAACGTTTATCGATCCGAAGTTTCCAATTATACGTGGTGCGACGTATTCGTTAGGCAAACAACCGTTCGTGAAGATAATGCGCCAACAAAGAAAAGTCGATTTCATTTTCAATGTTATTGACAATTCTGTTGAATCATAGCTGAACAAATTCTACGTCTAGCTGCGTGTTAATGCTGGAAAGTACTCCACGGCCTGTCCTAGAAATTTTATAATTGCTTAGACCACTGTTACACTATAGGAAAAGTGTTCAGTTTATTTTGTGCATTGGTTTTTAGTTATTTAGATTTAAAGGTAGGGAATATAATAAATAAGATTATACAGTTTTGTACATGGAATACGATTCTTGTTGCGATGTTGACTCAATAGTAATTGTTGAAAACTGAGGAGTACCGTTATAAGTCTAAATGGCGCAAGCGGAAATACACGCTTTATGCCAGTTTTACTAATGACTTTCACAGAAAACGCTCGGCCGATCGAGTCTTGGTTTCGCTCGCTATAACAATCTCCAATCTCTCTTTACAATTTAATTTCCTAGAGAACCAACTGTACTAAGAAATAATGAATTCGTTAAATTATTCCGCTCGAAAACTGCACTTTTTAACTGTTGTAAGCTCTAAAAAGAATTCTGGAAAATTCTCGAGGTCTGCTAAATCGCGATACGGCCTTTTATCACGCATCGTGATATCTCACTTTGACAGACACTTTTTGCAACAATAAGCACGCTCGGAATAGGGAGCGGCTTATAATTAAAAGTTCCCCACTGAATTGAATAAGCTACGATAAATATCGCAGTTTTGATAAGTCGCATTCACAATAGATATCTCGCGAGTAACGGGGGGGCCATTGTCTCCTTCCTTTCGATCGCGGAGATACGTAGTACATACGTAATGTATAATACCTACTCATAAGTACATCGCGACGGACGCGTCGCGTCGTTGAACACGTTACGCTGATACGGCAGTTTGCTCGACAACTGTTCCTTCCGGAATTCGCGTTCCCTGCACGTGACCCAACCGTAGCTCTTTGATTCACGTTCTACGGTTACCAAGTAAAAGTGAATCGATCAATATACCACTCCTCGAAACTGTTCACTCGGATCAGCTCGATAATGTGAATTGCATTCAACAGCTGATAACGGCTATGAGTTTATATGTTAAGGTTGTATGAGTTTTACGATCTCTGCCAAAAGTTTGAGATATGTAATAAAAAGCTGCGTTCAATATTTGAAGCAATGAACTTGTAAAAATATAGATAATTACCGAAGAGTGAGGTCATTATTCTTAAATCATGTATTAAGAATTATAAAAAATTACAAAATTCTGTCATTGTTGCATTCACATTTTTTTATAAATGAAATCAAAATTCTGTCGTTCTATATAAGAATTCAAGATGTAATAAATTTTT